GATAATTGAATTCCAAGCGATGGGTGGTGAGTGTGACATTTTATTTTTACATGCACGTGGGCAATTAGTAATGGTTGTTGGAATACAAGCACTTATGATAAAATCTACTAAAACTGTAAAATAGTCATTGTTCCTTGAGCCCTTTTCAACCATTAGCTTTTGATACTGTTACATATGGTAATTAGATTCTGATTCTGATTTTTTTTTAAATTTGCACTAACAACCATGACCCTTATTAACATTCAATATTTACTCGGACTATGACTATTTTAAGGTGTGCTTCTATAACATTTAAAATATTTTAATGGTGCACATTTTCTATATTATGAGACAGATTATAACTGTCCATCATTGTAAAACTTGCTTTCTCTCCACTACATTGCTTTCCCTTTTATCATAGCACTATTTAACAATAATAATAATTGCATGGATTTAAAAAAAAACTATGGAATTAGTCCTAAAACAAGCTTTCCACATTTGTGTGAATAGTCATAATTATATATATGTATATATTATGTTACAAACTGCTTACTACTGAGATTTATGAAGCCGGGATTGGAGGTTGGTCGGGTCACAAAAAGGAGATATCAATGAACCCTACAATAAAAGGGGAGGAATCCAAAGGAAAGTGAACATGCTTGCTGAACAGGGGGTATATATCAGCATGGCAAGTGTACACGCTAGGTCATTCACAGCCATTTTGGCTATCCACCATCAGTACATTTATCTCCTCCCAAACACCTTAATATATCTACAAATCCTTTAACACTTTCTCCTTCCTATCATAGGATAGCTGACCATTTAGGATCTCGTGATCGTCTTTTATTTTGCTCTCTCTAGTCGTGAGTATATTGTTTAATGTAGTATTTAGATCATAGTCAAGTTTCATTATGCCTTGTGTACTACTGTAAAGGTTTGGTGTAGACTTACTACATGTTCCTATAGCACAATACGTTCAGGTACTGATAATTTACATAAGACAGTCTGAAGATATAACATATCACATCAGTTACCAAGATAATTTAGTCATGTATTATTTGCTAATTCTCCCCTTAAGGGACCAACAACCGCGTGGACCTGGAGCATCTTAGCCTCCACCATCACAGCACAAAGAAAAGACCAGCTACAACCACTGCAGCCATGCAGTAACAAGTGGCAGCATGAAAATCCATGCATTTCTCGCAGAATGCCATCTGGCCAAGGATTGCTGCAACAGCTTTAGACAGCAAAGGTTTTGGATTCACAGGCAGCAAGCAACTCAAAGAAGGGTGGTCTTTAATAAGTGCACTTACACTACGCCTTCACTGCTCATATAACTACTGAATTTGTTCAGTCCTTACAAACCCCTGCAATAATTTAGCCATTTCTCAATCACTCTAATTTAATAGACACTTAAGGTACCTATAGGTTAGGTGCAATGTATACGTTAGAGCTTTATTCTCTTTGGCGTTCCTTTATTGTAGTTCCTTTAACTTCTTGGAGCAACGGACATTTTTTGTCATTTCACAGCCATGGTCTAAATTTTAATGTTTTTCCTGAACATCAGTTCTCCACAACATCCTTCTACATAGGCTTACCTTTTTGTTGTGTTTTATTTCTTTCACTAGTCATTTCCTCCACTTGCATGGTTAGTTATTCAACAGTCTTCAGTGTGACCAGGCCCGGACTGGCCATCGGGCACACCGGGCAAATGCCCGGTGGGCCGCGGTGGCCGTGGGGCCGAGGCCGGCAGGGGAGGTCCCAGGATCTCCCCTGCCGGTCTATGCAGGGCCGGCACTATCCGAGCGCCGGCCCCGCTGTCTTCCATGGAGTGCCGATGGGGAGATCAAAGATCTCCCTCACCGGCCCATTTAAATAGACCTGCGGCTGGGGAGGGAGGGAGAGGACCCGGCGGAGCTCTGTCTTGCAGCTCCGCCGGGTTTCTCTCGCGAGATCCGGGGCGTTGCCATGGCAACGCCCCGATCTCGCGAGAGAGTTCACTCACCACTGGACCACCAGGGATGGTGTGCGAGTGCCGGTGCCCCCCCTCCCAGCTACCACGTGCCTGTCCCCCCCTCCCAGGCTAAAGGTAAGAAGGGAGGGGGGGGGTTTAGTTTTTTTTTTGCTTAGTTTTTATTTTATTTTTTTATATATTTACCCCCACTTAATTTTTTATTTGTTTATTTACCCCCCAACACACAACATTTATACACAGCACTATCACACTCAGCATTCTCAGCACTCACACAACACTCTCACACACATCACACCCAGCACTCTCACACCCAGCACTCTCACACCCAGCAGTCTCACACACATCACACGCAGCACTCTCACACACATCACACGCAGCACTTTCACACACATCATAGCACTTTCACACACAGCACTCTCACACACATCATAGCACTCTCACACACAGCACTTTCACACTCAGCACTCTCACACACATCACACGCAGCACTCACACACATCACACACAGCACTATCACACCCAGCACTCACAACACACAACACTCACACACAGCACTCTCACACACAGCGCAGCACTCTCACACATCATAGCACTCTCACACACATCACACGCAGCACTCTCACACACATCATAGCACTCTCACACACAGCACTCTCACACACATCATACACAGCAATCTCACACATCGCAGCACTCTCACACACATCATAGCACTCTCACACACATCATAGCACTCTCACACACATCATCATAGCACTCTCACACACAGCACTCTCACACACATCATACACAGCAATCTCACACATCGCAGCACTCTCACACACACTCTCACACAGCACTTTCACACTCAGCACTCTCACACACATCACACAACACTCTCACACACAGCACTCAGCACTCAGGCACATCACTCTCACACACATCACACTCAGCACTCACACACATCATACACAGCACTATCACACTCAACACTCATACACAGCACTATCACAATCAGCACTCACACACATAACACACAACACTCACACACAGCACTCTCACACACTCTCACACACATCACACATCATACACAGCACTATCACACTCAGCACTCACACACACTAAAACAGACCTTATTACACAATACCACACCATGACCAGCTCACTCTGCACAAACGTAATACCACAAACAGGCTCCAAACACATGCACAATACTCTTTCCTGGCCCTTTTGTCTCCTGGTATCCATTTATAGAGACACCAGAGACAAGTTGCAAGGAAACAGTGCAAGCATGTTATTAAATTTGCTTGCACTGTGCAGAACAAATACAGGGCTTTTTTCTCATGCTAGAGCTCTTCAGCAGAGCTCTGCGCATGGTCTGCCCTGGAAGAGCATTGAACCAACATGCTCACTTTGAGAGGGAGCGTGTTTGTCATGAGTGATGACAAAACACACCCTCTCTGCCCCGCCCCCTTCTTAGTGGGCCGCTGTGATAAAAAAATGCCCGGGCCGAATTTTTTTCCCAGTCCGGCCCTGAGTGTGACATTAACACAGTGAGGTTACATTTGGTGGCAGCAGTAGACTATATGACTATTTATGGTCATGGCTACTGACTTTACATGTATTTGATAGACAGAGGATTATATTTATTGGCTACCAAAGAAGTTTAGTTCATGTAAACATAGCAAAGTATAAAATAATTTATAAGCAAATATTGATAAAGAGATAATTGTACTCACCAAACCATTGCAGTTACTCAGAGCCACTTTAGTTGTTGTGTTTTGGTCCTGTAAGTATCCTATGTAGTGACAGTTCTCGATGTTATCGTGTCTCCATTCAGGCCCATCCTTTCCCCAGTATTCTACTGTAAAGTGTTTGGAGACTAAATCTGTGTTCAGAGTCAGGTTTAGATGAAAGTGCTTGCCATAGGCAGAAATTTTAAAAAATAATTTAGAAGCTTCCTGTTCTTGGTCTTTAGAGTTCATACTCCTTTTCCTCCTTCGTGAGTGTTTGTCATTCTTCACAGTAAAGCTGACGAATGCTCCGTTGTGATCAACTCTTATTGGAACCGTCAGTTGGTAGTGTTCAAGGTAAGACAGGAATTCCCCTTTGTAATCACAAGCCAGTTGGGTTCAGAAAGATATCATGCAAAGGAAAAGAAAAGTAAGAGGAAGTAGTACATACTAAGGTACCATACTGAAACATTTTGTGGACAATACCGAGGTAACCAGTTACTTGACAGATCAATTAGGCAACACAAACAAAATAACTTTAGAATTTTTAAGCCCGTATGGGAAGAAGACAGTCAATATGCTACTGATACATTTAAACATGTGACCATGTAATAATTATACTCCAAATAACTGGTTATTGCTAAGGCTAGCTAATTAGAAGAAAATAAATCCAAGATGAACTCTTCTGAGCATTTGTTATTCTATGAAACAATTATTTAACTTCTAATGAATATATAAAATGATGTTTAAAAAAACAATGTGATGTAGGTCTCTTTTCAGCCTCTGTACCTATGTTACTATGTATGTCTTTTTTAAGTGTATTACAGAACAAAATACAATTTACCATGGAAAATGCACCAAAAAAATAAAAAATATCAAAATGGCAACACTTCTGGGAGTCTTTTTCAACCTAGACTACTAAGTAACTATGTAATTTCTAGGCATTAAATACAAGTTTGCTTTTCTTTTGCACTTCTTGGAATGGTAAAACAAACATTATTTAAACTTACAATGGTAATGTTCACTAATATATTTTCACAACATCTAGCAATATAGAAAATCTAATATTGGAACCCTACCTTGAGAACTATATGTAAGCCTGCTGTCCCTGTGAAATTCAGATGAAGCCATAGCAAGGCCCAAAATCCAGATCAACGTCTTCCACAATATTTCCATAATTTGGAAGAAAAAAATGTGAACACTTTTTGTTGTTGTTCCTTGTTTTATTCTTTTGAGGTTATCTCTGTACTAGAATATATGTTCTGTTCCAGAATGGAACCATAACAGGTCCATGTATAATGCCTTTCTTCCACACCGATAACTAAAATATTTGACAGTGGGGTATTTATTGCTTGTTTTTCTATATTTGTGTTTTTATTTTTTATAGAATTCTATTTTTTAACATATGATCTTCTCTTGAACTTTGTCCTTTCCCGATTGTCCACTTTCATTTTCTCTAAGCAGACAGAAATAAAGAATATTTAGAAGGCAAAGCAAAATAATCCCTAATGTAGATGTCAAGCTTTAGACTGGAAAGATAAGCGTGGGCCACTTTTGTACCTGCAAGAAAGAAAATGAAAATGGTGATACTGGTGTATCTCGTAAATTCTTGGGATTCACATACCTTTCATACACAGTGGGATAAGAACTAGTTTCAAAAATACATTGAGGCTTTCTGACAATCATCTCACATTCACAAGTTAAGTTACAAAATGTGGAGTAATTCAATTATAGTAGTGTTGTTCTCCATAGCCTAAATAAACACACAAAAGACTAAACATAAAAGGCTAACCTAAATAATGTGTCAAAGTCAGACAGCTCAGTTTGAATTAGTTGGAAAGGAAAGACTATATAATTAATTTTCTATTCCCTCCCACCCACCCCCCCACCCCCAAAGAAAAGTGGAAAAAAGAAAGATAGCCATGAAAAGCGCACAGTATGACAAAAATAAATAAATAACACACAATGATTTATACCTCTATATTGGGTGTGGGATATGCTTTTTTTAAATTACTGCACTCTATGAATAGAAAGTGTAAAACAGCGATCATGTACTATAAGTACATAAAATATGCAGTGGACTGGTATAATCAGGGTGTGAGCAGCTAGTAACCAATGGGTATGTCTGGTAGACTAACCGTTTCATAAGTACAAACATGAGAATTATAAGATCCTGGAAGTATGTATTTATTGAGCTTGACTTTTGGCTCACACTCAAATTGTTCCTCAAGGAGTTTCTATCGCTACCCTCTTTTCTTAAATTATTCACCATATCTGTACAGCACCCCACATGTGTACTCCAAAAGTGCTGGCCTCTCAGCATTTACAAAACAAAAGTTGGAAAAAATCACAGTCAAACTCCCAATGAGCATTTGTCAAAAATATGGGATCCCTGGATCTTCATGCACCTTGATACACCCTTTCATGTCCCCTCAGTCATTTTGACTTCGGCAGTCCACAACTTACTGGGCCCCCTCCTCTAAACTCGCTCTTGCCACATCTTCTCCTCTTTCTTTGTTTTGATGAAATGTTGTCATTGTATCTGCTGTTTGACATACAGTTGCTATTTACTGCGATTTTCATATGATAGGATGAATCTGTTCACTTACAATGATACTAGGTTTATGTTGACAAATATAATTAAGAAAAAAGACATTCCATAAAACATAATTATCATACATGCTACGGAAGCTTTGTGGTCACACAAATGAAAAACTTTCTTACGAAGGCCATAATTAGCCCTTCATTACCCTCCACCTGTAAACTGTGAAGGCTGCTGGCACATTTCCAGGATAAATCCCCATTGCTAAAAATCCACTGATTTTACCAGAAGATCTGATACACAATCACAAAAATCATCCTAAAAACTGTAGAAACAAAAGAAAATCATTAGATCAATCAGTCTAGAAGCAGATGCTGAATTTCACCACTCAGGCCCTGTCTACAAAAGACCATTATCCGAAACGCAGCTCTCAGAGATGAAGACGACTGGTAGGAAAAGTTACAGGGGGGACCAATAACCATTTATAAAGCTCTGCGAAATACTGGCCTGTATGGGAGTGTGGTAAGATGAAGTGATGATTTTTACACACTCAGAGAGGCTATAAGGCATTGTCAGCCTAGTTTTTCTTCATTTTGTAATTTACGATCTTTACTGTTAGAATTGCAAAAATCACTTGAAAGGGTGTATTTTGTAACTAATTTGTTGATTTTTTGTCTAAATCTCTAAAATGTCCCCACGATTAAGTATACATTCCACATAACCTCTCGGGAAGAAGAAAATTATGATTTATTGAATATTGAGGTCCAACATGCCTCTTTCACCTCCACACATGACCATCTAACTCACAATCAAGCTTACATGGCTCTAAAATTGCTGAACAATACAGTAGAAACATCAAAATACAGCAATCCCTGAGTCTATAGAGACTGCAGAGATCAAACACTTTGTTTGCCTTTTTCCCCACCTCTTGCCTCCCAAAATAACTAAAAGAGTTCTCCTTGATGGCTTCTACATTCTACCTAGACCAACCATTGCCCCTACCATTACCTCTGAGGACCTTCAATTTGTCACTCATCTCGACAAGATGGCAGTCTTGGCAAGATTCCCCTATAGTGGAGTTTGAACATTGTTCTCTAGCCTTTTATTATGACTTGTCCAGGTCTACTTTGTTGTGGAGACATTGTCTTCACCCTGTTACCTGTGTCCCAAGGAACAAGAAAGTGCCTTACCAATGGGGCAGCCAAAGATCCATGCAAGTTAGTAAAGAGTGGACTGTGCACAAGTTATTTAATGTGGTTGACTCAGCTAATATTTATTTCATTTTTTTTTATTTTCAGGGAACAGTTATAGTTTTTGGCTTTCTGTTCCACTATATATTTAATTTGGGACTCTGTCCCACATTTTAAAAATGTAATCCAAAAAAATCTAATTGCGCATGCGTGAAGTGCCCTTTAACCCCCATCAATATCCAAACTGAGCACAAATGTTTTTATTTTCAGGTATTTGCAGTATGAAATCTAGGTCATAAATTCTTATTCACCATCTTTTTTATTATATTTATGACTACTAGCTTGTTGAAAAAAAATTATCCAACAGAAGCCAATAGACCCAAATATAATGTCTGTAAATTTGCTGTAAAATGCTTTCAAATGGTACATGGAATTTTAATGGGTCATTTCAGTCCTACAGTCATGGGGGAGGGAGAAGTGAACGGACTCTACCATTTCACTGTCAGTATTACATTAATGTTCCAGAGATTGATAGCTTTATTTTAGAAATACATAAGCTAACTGTATTAACTGTTTGCAGGCATTATGTTTAAATGTTGACATTCGTTTTACATTCTGTTGCTATTTTTGGTAAACTGCACTGCTAGTAATGTCTTCATGGCCCTTGCAAATACCTATAAGCAATGTTTTGACCACTTTTAGTTATCTATTTTTTAATCAAATCTACGGTGTATGAGAAAAATAGCATTTTTGCTTCTATGCTGACATTTTAAACACTGTGAGAAATTTTACAACATTTAATTTCCCAATGATTTTTTTTTATAAAAGATGAACAAATAAGTGAAAATAAAATTGTGTAATTTTACATACATTTAATTTTTAAGCTTCTCTGCTAAGCAATCTATGCACAAAATTGCTGTCTTAAGATATTGTATGCTTATATGCTAACTATGCTTCCCTTGCTTCATATAAATGGTATGCTAAAATGTTTCAATCAAAAAGTGCTCAATAGTGAAGGGATTAACTGATTAAAGGCATTAAAACACCACTAACATACAGCATGCTTAATCTGTAGTTGTAAATGGAGTAAAATTTGTTGACTTTTTTTTTTTTTTTTGCCTAATTCTGGTTTTGTGCTGTAAAGGCATCATTCCTATTCCAAGCATGTGCTCCATAGGTGGTGCTGAGAGCTTGGTGATATAATCTGCATTATAAGCAATTGTTAGGTGAAAAGTGCATTGTTATATGTCGAAATAGCTATAGATTGTATGACAAGAGTCATGTGGAGGAGTCAACACTATAGTATAGGAGGTAATGCATACCTCACAACTCCTGCATCCTGTGAATCGGTAGGAGGGGGGAGAAAGGGGGCCGGACAGTGACATGATCACATCACTGGTGCAACTTAATAGTGCAGACCCGCACAGAAAGGAATTGGGAGATCATCAGGCTACCTCTCCATCATACATCACTGAGGGCAGAAGTAAGCACTGTTTCAGTACTCTCTGCAGGATCCTAATACCTTCAGCAAAGTGCGTGCGCGTCTAATGATACATTTACGCTATGCTTGTTGGAGACAGTTCCCAGTTCCCTGGTGTCCCAAAAACGGCACTCTAGGGGACTAAGCCGGGACGTAACTGTCCTGCTGGAATCAGGATGGTTGGGAGGTCAGAGTTAATGGCAAGGGTACTTTTAGGTATTGTTGGAGCTAATCTTTAGTGATAGTGTAGGAATTAATTTGCTGTGTAGTGTGTTAGGGTAGTTAACACTAGGTCTTTATTATAATTGCAGGACTGTCCCGGCACTGGCTGAGATATGTGAGATTGTTAGAGGGGATTATTTTAAAGGAATACTATAGGCACCCAAATTACTTCAGCGGTCTGGGTGCACTGTCCCAGGTCCCTTAACCCTGAGCAGGTAATTAATGCCGTTTTTAACAAACTGCAATTATCACCTGCTAAGGTTAACTCTACCTCTAGTCGGTGTCTACCAGAAAGCCACTAGAGGAACTTCCAGGCGGTTAGGCGACTTCTTCAGTTTACTGACGCTGGACATCCTCATGCTATGCATGGGGATGTCGAGCGTCACCTAAAACCCCTTAGGAAAGCATTGAATAATGCTTTCCTATGGGGAAATCCTTGACGGAGGGGGGAGCTACAGTGCCAGGTAAACAAGTTGGTATGGTATGGTATGACTGACAGTGATGGGAGTTTTCATATTGTATTAAAGTTCAATGTGATGTGGCAGAATTAAAGTGGCTGCCAGTTTTAAACAGTTAGAACTGTAACCTTCTTAGGTTGTAATTCAATTGTCAGTTCTGTACAGCACATTTCACCAGGATCTGCCCTGGGTACAGAACACTTGCTAGCTTACTTTTTAGGGAGGGTGGACTTTGCAGAAGTTTATACTGTAGAGGGGCCCTGGAGGAATACATATGGAGACTGACAGACACAATGCAGGCAATGTGAGAAATAGCATATTTATAGTTTCCAGAGATGTATACTAGGCAAGATCCCAAAAAGCCATAGTAATCCATTCACACTCATTCTGCTAGACTAGTCCCTTTGTGCAACTATACAGTGAATGAGAGATTCTCAAAGCATTTTACAGATGACCTGGCTTCCGCTCTCCTCCCATTGGCTACATGTCATCATAACCTTTTAATGTTGCCTGCAGCCTTTTTGTATGCAGTCTCACGACAGTAGCTTGCTTATCTGCCAGCAACTGCAACGTTCATCCTTGGTTTGAAAAGTCTCCAGGTTCCAATTAACTTACTTCCTTTATGTATTTTATTTTCTACAGCCACGTTAATTGCCACAGTCTCTGCAGTAGATTGCTGGCATCACTGATCAGATAAAAAAAAGTGCTTCTAGTCCCTAATGATGTTATTTTATGATTTTTATCTAAGAACTAGAAGAATGGCCAATAAAGTTTGGCTAAATACCCAAAGAATAATTCCAAGTCACTGGAGAGGTGCACCAGCTGGAAAGGGGAGGAATCAGTAATAATACCAGGGCTGCCCATGTGAAGAGTTCAGATAATGAATTCCTGCACTGAACAAAAATGCTCTGGTTTGGACTTATGCAGCACTTTATGGTGCCTAAGAAAAAACCTAATCTCATCAATATGTTTGACACTACGGTAAAAGAAAAAGTAAAACAAAAAAAGAATGTGTGCCTAGCTAGTAAAATGGAGGAAGGTATGAAGAACTCACTGCTAGATTTTGACATAAACTTTCAAATTAAAAAGACAAACCAGATATCTAAGGATTAAATAATGGGCAAAAAAAATACTTTTTAGGACCCAAACACCAGAAGTTACCTTGAAAGCTTAACTCAAATCTTAGTAGAATTGGCCCACACAAATTTATGATGAAACTGGTTGGTAAAATATCTGCTATCATGTGTCTAAATCCAGCAAAGAAGCAGCTCCATCTTGTCTGCATGGTCCAGACTTCCAGAGAATTAGTGGAAGAGGACATTTCTGCCTATTGGACTATCCCAATTTCCGTTTATTGGACTGGTTAGCTATATTTGTTGCCTTGGGGTCAGAATCATCCATAATGCTGGTTTAGAGCAATTTCCCTAGGCAGTTTATCCATAATGGTTTACTTTCAAAGTTTTAATTAAGATTTGTTTTGAGGTTGTCAGTCTGCATTACAAAAGGTACACGTTTATACTGTATACATGCAACAGACACAATGCATGAATACGGAAGGTTCTAAATGAATGAGTTTACCTACCAGCATTGGGAGATATGTAAAGGTGGGCCTTCTATGGGGGGGAGGGGGCGTCACCAGTGATGTAACTTGCGTCATTGGCAACAAACACAATGGGCATGCCCACCCAAGATGTGGGTATCCCTGCCTACTGAAGGGGCTGGCGTCAAGCACGTCAGGCTAACCGACAGTCATCCTGGTCAGCCACCTACTTGCAGGACCCTTTAGATCAGGGATAGGCAACCTTCGGCACTCCACATGTTGTGGACTACATCCCCCATAATGCTCTTACAAACATAATGCTGGCAAAGCATCATGGGAGGTGTAGTCCAAAACATCTGCAGTGCCGAAGGTTGCCTATGCCTGATTTAGATAATGCTGCTGAAGTGTTCTCTGCATGGTCCTAGTGCCTGCTGCACAGCACAAGCACCTTTAATGGATGTGGGTTACCAAGAAACTATATCATGATAGCGGGACAAAACCCCAAAAATCGGGACAGTTCCTCCAAAAGTGCAATGACTATTGGGTATTCCACCACTTGACTAATTGGTGAAATTCTAAAGTTTTCATATTTCTGCACTCCGCTCTGTTTGCATCCTTTTAATTAATTAATTAACTAATTACTTAATGTTTACTTTAAAAGTTACAAGGGACTCTTTTACAGGGCGTACATAACAAAACAAGTAACATCTCTGACAATAAGTCCTTAAACAGATTACGTCTTGGCCAGTTAAGTCCAAAATCAAATCTTCATAAAGAACTTGATTGTCTGAAATGTTGCCTGTTTTGCTGTGACCACTCAATAAAGAACAAGCTTGGAATTTGAAGGGTTGTACTGGGTTTTTAGTATTACCTTCACATTTATTATATGCTTGGTGGAATGGGTTTATGTGCACCCTTCTGTGTAAATGCCCCCCTTTGATCTGCTGTTTATTGCAATTCAGAAATGTGAAGATCTCTGCATCCAGACAACAGCGATCTACAACGCTACAACATACAAAAAATACAAAATTGTCCACTATGATGTGCGTGATATACATACATGGCAATTGTGGCCATGTGCTCCCATGTGAGATACACTGTATTTTAACTTAAGGCAAGTATTGAATTTTGAATTCTGTCACATCCAAAGCTTTTTCATTTGCAGAAAATCCATTTTTACTCTACTGTACTTTTTTTTCCAGTGACCCTATCCACAAGATTTGTTCCATGGGCTCAAGCCAAACTCTTCAGCTAAAATATAGTGAAATTAATACAGTGTAGTAAAAATAGTGAGGTGACTATTGGAAGGAGACTTATAAAGCAGTTACATAAAGAATATCAACACACCAAACCACTGCAATTTTACCATATAACATCATACATTTTACATTCCCAGTATTTATCAGCACCTGCCTTCATGCAAACCGGAGCATTTGGTAACAAAATTCAATATTCTAGCCAGCTGCAGCCAGGCAATTTCTTTGCTGGCCAATTGATTAGGTTGTGGTTTAGACATGTGTTGCGGTTCCGTGTGTATTTGTGTAAAGATCTAGTCATCCCACCGCCCAGAAGCACCTTGACTAGGTCTCAAACAGCTGTTTTTATTTTAAATGTCATTATTCTGTAGTCCAAAGAAACAAGGTTACCTAAAATAGCCTCCTTTCCAATACAAGAACTGATGTCAAATACTACAACCAGACTGTGAGGGAAGATTAACAAGTTTATACCTAACTGTGATACTTTAAAATCTCCCACCTTGGATCAAGATCCAAGAAACCAACCTCTTCCCCAGCCCCTTGGACAAATCTAGTAAAAAAATGTATCCTGAATTCCTTTGTGGTCCTAAGTACTGGGTATACCGCAAAAGCCATTGCAAACACAGAGGACTTAAAGCCTTAATTGCCAAGATCTTTCCACTCTTTCCCAAGATATATTATTCTGTTCTGAGAAAACCTTGTCCCACGCATTGTTACCTGCAGCCTTCCAACCATACCACTTTAAAGTACTAACAGTACCCTTCAGATTGCATGTGTTCTTGACTGATGTAAACTGTTTAGTTCACGTTATTGATCCCTTGCTGCAACGGTCATCTGCATCTTTATTTGGCTTATAATACTCGTTACAAGTTATTGGCTCTACCATTGGCTTTCTAATATAGGACATTTTGCTGCCATGGATATTGATTTTAAAATACTGTTTATATTTGTCTCACAATACAAAATTATAGCTCCATTTAATTTTTACTAGCCAAATACAATGAGCATCATATCCTTCAACAGAACTCTTCCTGACACTTGATAATTGCATATCCCAATGTTCATGAATGTCTTCACTTCCTTGGATTAATAAGCTTGTCGGACAAGGTTTACGGTCCACTTTATTTTCATAACTTCAGATTTAGTTATACACCCCATATGTTTTCAAAGGGCCACACTTTTATTTGATTTAACTGTTTTTTAAGAATGCATAATAATTGACTGATGCCCAGACATTGTACAGTCCAACACCTTTGGGAGTATTAACTATGGATCTTTTAAATATAGTTTTGTAATTTAGTTTTCTGTTTATTTAATAAATCCAGAGACCAGTCTCCCAAAGTTCAGACTCTCAAATGTTTCATTAAGTGCTGAATTATAAAGACCCTCTTTACAGAACTATTGTTGCCTTTGATTTCCAACTTTGTCAAAAGTTCCAAATTCCACCCTACTATAACTAGAGCTCTAACTGCTGTCTAGCAATGTGTAACTAAAAACAATGATGAAAAAAAGCATCAGCTTGAATTTTTTTGTGAAGTTCCTTACTAAAGTAATTAGTGGTTGACCAAAGGACTAAGAAAACTGTGAAATGGAAATTGTCATGGGTCCAGAAGAAATGTATTTTTGTTTGTAAAGCTAACAGTTCGTTTAAAACTGAAATGGCTTGCTGAGCACAAAGCAACTCGTATTTGCAATTGCAGACCAAAATGAGCATTTAACAAACACCGGTGGGTTACTGTCTGTTGGTATTTTACAATAGCTGCTAATGCTGAGAATGAGGATGTATTCCTATACACATACTATAACTTCCAATACAAGGAATCCCAGTAGATATAATCTCTTAAAATAGCCACCGAGGCACCATAACAACTTCCTGCTGAGAATGTGATTATTGGTGACATTGAGCAGTTTAACTGAAAACAAGGGGTTCCCAGGGTCTGGTGGTGCAGCCTCTGCTTACCATAAATGGGCATGGACGCATGTCTCTTTTCAGCTTTGCAACTATGTAACTATATAAGAGGTAGTAGTTCTAAAGCTGGGGGGGAAACTAAAATACACTAATCGGTAAATACATTTTCTTTAGAAATATTTTTTAACTCTTTATTCATATAATGTATTTAAAAAAAAAGTTGTCAAATCCACAATGGAGTGTTCTTTTGAAAGTACTACCAGCAGACATCTTTAGCACTGGTAAAATCTGCAATGGAATGAGTTCATTTAGAAAAACACAAGTCTGAGCTTGAAACCTTACACAGGCTACAGAAGAATTTCACAAACTACAGGCAAAATGTACGACAGTACGAGTCTCACACTCAACGTGAGAATGGGTTAATAACTGTCAATGATTTACTGCCAAGACATACCTAGCCAGGTATTTATCTCTGTTGACAACCAAGTGGAATACAGTAAGGGTGAACAAGGGTCATGTTTGAGTCTCCCAAAAAAAAAGGATTACCTTTTACAAAGAATTCAAGAAAGACACCACCTGTTCTCATAAAGGTTACTGTCCACATCTGTATGCATTTAGCATTTTGCCTCTAAGGTAAATATGGTTTAAGAAACCCCACTATATACATTCTGTACGCTATTCCCTGATGAGTTACTTTTTTTTTCAACATTTGCGTATGCATCCACTGTCCTTATTCTCCAGACATAAGTCTGCAACAAATGCTTCTGTTTTGATAAAAAAAAAAGAAAAACAGTCTGAACCCAAATGCACATTTTTTCCTTCTCTCTTCCATAGTAAATATTGGAAACAGATTCTTGACCATGCTCCCCCTTCCTTAACTGCTGCCAAAAGGATGTCTGTGGAAGCACTCAGCTACAATGGATATTTAGACGAACACTGTTCTGGAAAAGCAGAGGACAAAGTCTGCATAATAACTGTGAAGAAAAATGGTTAAGAACACATTATATGTTAACTATTTTCTAAACATGATGCACATTGTCAGGGGATGAGTAATTATCCATTAACATGCTCCCTGTGTGCAGGGGAAGATTTAAGGTTCCAAAAGTATTCTGTTTTTTTAACTCAACCATGCAAATTATAATTTGCAATTTCAGCACCTTAAAAGTTCCACTGTCATCACAATTGTTAATACACCATCATATAGTACTCTAAAAATGGACTATATCTGGTGTTGGTCATTTCGAAACCTGTTGACCAGATTATTTCATATAAAAATGGAAAAAATTTATTTAGTCGAATCTTGGCGTAGGATACACGTAGCATCATCAGAGAGAAATTGCCAACATCTTATTGGCTGGTGACATGACACACTTTATACAGGTTTGTCACCGAAGGTTTGACATTTTTCATGGAATTAAAAAATGGACACCTCCAGACTGAATGATCCTAGGATCATAAAATAATTACAGCTAAAGCTATTAAAGGGCAGTTACTTGAAAGTAAACCATCTTAATATTTTTGCTAATGCAGTTTAAAACCGACTTATATAGAAACATTTTATGACTTGTCAACAGAGAAGGTTATGCAATAAGGATGTACACAATGTAAGCAATATTTAGATGGACAGAAAAAGTTAAAACCATGGGATTTCAAGTATAAATTCAACAGTAAAAAAACTATAGGGGAAATAAATAAGCAGAAGAGAATCTTGCAAGGTCAAAAAATCCATGGAGAACATGCCGAAGCTGGTAAACAGAATCAGGTTTGATCCACATATAATATAGAATTAATGGTGGGAAACCCAATATGAACTTGCAGATTTTTGGTGGTAACATGAAACGCAGTTATGATTGTTTTTCATCATGCACTCCATATAATTTATTTAAAGGTACATTCATTCTCACGAACATATGCTAAAAATTAACTTTTTTATTATGCAGTCCCAGCTTAAGTAAATGTCTTTAAGTCAGACTTTTTAACATGTCATAAAATGGGCCGAGAAGTCTATTTTGCCTGCTCGATTTAGAGGCTGTCCTGATACAACTTTAGCTTCCCTTCCAACTATCCAAGCAATTACACCACTGACATTAACGAGAGAGTATAACACGAATGCAAATGGGGTATTCGCGGCAAAATCTGAATTACAATAAAAGTAATGAAATGCAATTTTGAGCCAGAAAGCCCTTTTAAGTCTCCCTTTGAAACTGAATGAATTAATATGCAATAAATCTAATCTTTTTTTTAAATGTGCAAAACACTGATGAGCATAGAATTGTTTCAAAATGAATACACAGTAATGCCACTTAAAGCCTCAAATAATAAACAATATTGTCATTTGCATGGGCATTCATTTAGCACATATTTTGTGCTTTAATATGGGAATGGGCAATTAGAGTTATTTGCAAGATTTCCTTGTTTGCCAAAGTGACTTTGAATAAGGATTTTATACCAAGACATCTCGAAATTGCCATTCAATCAAGATGATGTTGCATAGCAACTGGACCATATTATATGTCTAACATCAAGCTACAAATGAACATTCTATCACTATGCACATCTGGGGAAAACTAGAGCACATGTTAGACTAATTGTTGGACACATTTTCTGGAATTCTAAGTAACCTGGCCAAATTAGTCGGAATGTATGCTTTACTCCTCCCATGTTACGTGCCAGGAATGAGTGTTATTGCTGTGGTTCTGACTACTTTTCACATTTCCAGATAGCTCTACTTCTATCATTCTATTAGCATCCCTTTCTGTCTGCTATCTCCTGCTTAATGGCCCCTATCTATTTCTACATCCCACCCCAAATAAGAATTTTCCAATTTTTTGCTATCATCTGATAATCTCTACTCGGGGAGATAGTGGTCAATTGAGTCACTAATTCCAGACGTTTTTTCACACACCCAAACATACAAGGAAATTATGTTATCATGATAAAATAAATTTATCTGTAATGTGTCATGAAGTTTTTTAAAATTTTGTATCTCTATTGGATATATAACGTTCCATAACTGCAAGACATTTTATGTAGAGCCGTAATCAAAGAGAGTCTAAATTACACCTATGGCCTAATATCATGATCCAAAATAATATCCTAATAGAATTTAAGTTTATGCTTTATATCTTCACAGATCTATCATTTTTGCTTGACTCCAGATTTTTTGGGTTACAACAAAACAAAGGTTTGAGCCTCTATAATTAAAAAAAAGAGAGAGAGAAGATACACAGTTCTATCTTATACGAATATTTCTCGTCTGTACAATACTATCAAACCTATTTTTTAACTCTTTGACACAGCCTTTTTAGTGTTTGGATACAAGCACTTTTACAGCTACCAACAAATGACATGTAATGTTTATAGTACACTAGGCTGTAGCCACATAACTTGTTTTAGTTCAAAGTCAGATGAATGTTGATATAAGTCGTACCAATTTTGATGTAAGTAATACAAATACTCATAAAGGCTTAAAATTAAATAAAACCATACAATCTAGAGGGCAGAATGGCTGATACCACAGTACACATTGACGTTAAATGTGGCTCGTCACTGAATTCCATTTTTCCAACAAATTAGTTCAACTTTCTGCACTGCCAGAGGTGCCCCAGTCAACAGTAGGACCTTGTACTATGAAATGGAAATGTGTAGGAGAGAACTCAGTTGATACAAGACAATCTGGAGATTAATAAAATGGCATTCTATGACAAAATTGTTGTACAGAAGCCCAAGATCAGCAAAAAGCCAGCCAACTTTTGCCTCTGGAACAGTGAAAATACATTGCCTATAGTGATTAATTCTGCTTTGAAATCTTGTAGTCTAGCTAATAACTTTGGGCTTGGCAGATAGATTAAATTTCGAGCTATCAAAATGTTGATACATGCGCACTTTACGAAAAGACACAGACTATTAGTGCAATTAAAATAAGAGATCTACGCTACCTAGTCACACAAGTTTTCAAATTCAGAAAGATTCCATGTTAAAGTGTTACTCTAACCACCATGACAACATCAGTGATTTGAAGTAGTCATTGTGGTAGCAGTATGCATATGCAGTATTTCAGCTTGAAACACTGCATATACATAGATATTGTTAATTGTGTGCTGGGAGCAGTGGCGGAACTACCGCGGGCCCATCACTCCCTGCGGACCCCTGCGACCATGGTGCCCGTCTGCTAAGTACCGCGGCCACGGCCCACATGGTATAACCCGCCAGGGCCGCATTGAAGGGGCCCATCGGGTGGCCCATGCTGTTAGGGACACCCAATGGCAATGAATTTCCAGGGGCCCGGTCAGCGTTGCGGTGCATTAACAGTGCGACCGGGCCCCCTCTGATGATGTCAGAGCTGGGAGGAAGTGACTGCCCCAATCACTCCTCCCAGCTTACACCAGGAGCCACGCAGGAGGAGGAAGGAGAAGAGGGAGTCAGAGTGGGAACTCTGACTCCCAGCAGGCTGAGCCACCACTGGACCCCAAGGAAGTCACTCTACTGCATCTAAAAGGTAGGAAACAGGATGGTGATTATTTTGTATATGCGTGTGTTTGTGTATGTGTCTGTATGAATATGCATCTGTATGAATGTTTCTGTGTGTGTGTGTGTGTGTGTCTGTGATCTGTATGTATGAGTGAGTGTATGTCAGTATGTGTGTCTGTATGTGTGTGTCTGTATGTGTGTGTCTGTATGTAATAATAATATGTGTGTGTGTGTGTATGTGTCTATGTATGTATGTATATGTGTGTTTGTGTGTATGTCTGTATGTATGTGTTCTGTATGTATGAGTGAGTGTATGTCTGTATGTGTGTCTGTATGTGTGTGTCTGTATGTGTGTCTCTGTCTGTGTGTGTGTGTGTTTGTATATATGTGTATCTGTATATGTGTCTGCATGTCTGTTTGTCTGCATGTATGAGTAGGGAACGTAAGGGAGGGGGCGGGTAGACATATGGGGGGGTGGCAGAGGGTAGACGTATGGGGGGGCCCATGGGCAATTTTTGCAATTTTCTGCTTGCAAGGGGAAAATTGTAAAAATCTTCCCCTTGCAAGCAGAGGGGCACTTGCAAGAGTTAGACTGCTTCCCCTCCCTTCCACCCTACTTAATTGTAGCCCTACCACTACCTGTACCATCCTATACTTTATACTGACACAGCCTCCATCCTCACGCCATTCCCTCTCACCTTCCCTTTGCCAACTCAGAGTGGGTACCTGTGCTCTGAGATGGTAAAATGAAACTTGGTGTGGATCCCGTGACGATAGAAAAGGCACGCCAAGCAGCTTAGTCAACGCTGGATAAAGTTAAGTAAAAACTTTGTTTAGAACACTTTCTAAACATTCTTTTTCTGGAGGGGTGTAGGGGGCTGATGAATAATGCCAACAGGGCATTATTCAGAGATTAAAGAAGAAAAAACTTGAAGAAACCCTTTAAATGTCACTGTTACAGTATATGCTCGACTGATAGCCTAAGTGTACATAACAATTTTCTTGGATTTGCTTAGAATTGAAATAAAATAAAACACATTAAGGTTATGCAAGTGCATTGACTTACTATCCATGTTAATCCGTGCAATTGAATATTACTAAACAAAGAGATGCATGAAAAATGGAAGGAATATGACAATTTTCAAAACAGAGAAAAGTCGCTAAAACAAAAATAAAAACCCTCGGTTATAAGAACAATTGCATATATACTAAAATGGTCTTATCACGTGCACTGAACTTTACCACAAATCATTAGAGTAGAAAAACAATCTATATGTGGCGTTAACATTTATTTTAATTCTATATCAGTTTTTGAAATATTTTTTAATAACAGGTGTCAGCCTTCCTACTGTTAAACTTGTTATGCTATGGGCATGTTGGACACTCGTCCAAACCAACCCTTATTTCCTGTCTTCTACATAGGTTCTAAAAGATATTTTAATACATTCTAAGAGATGGAAAACGAGCAGCCAATCAGGTAAAGAAAGTTAAGAGCATACAGAAAAATATTAACTCCTCAACAAGAGACTGAAAATGTGATCTAAAAGACAAAACATATCCTAAAGGGACATGACAAGTACCATATTGCTATGGCTTATTGTAGAGGTCAAAGTGCTATGAAGTAATGCATGTGGTCAGGCAGTGTTCTGTTTTTGAATGCAATGACACAGAGCAGATCAAATAACATTCATTTTCCACTAACAAGTATCAATTCACCTCTGGTGCCTGTGCCCTACACCCTCCAGGCTTGCAGTGGCGAGTAATATTTAGGCCTGGCTAGTAGCAGAGGACATGAAATGTTGACTCCTGGAATATAGGATGAGTAAGTTAGAATTAACAGCCACAGTTCTTTCTGTGCTGCCAAATAACTGCTAATTTTATTACCATTGCCAAACTGTCACAGCCTCCCTGTGTTCTTACACTTTAAAAACATTTTGAAGGGTAATGATAAAATTTAATTTTCTCATTATGATATTTAAAGTTGATGGTTGGGCTTTGGGGGCTAGGAGTTACAAGTTGACCAGAAAAAGTTAAATTGCTTAATAAAAAGGCTATGGTGCTTGAAGAGTCCATTTAACCGCTTAACTGTTTTGTTTGAAAATATTTTTTAAATCTTTCTTTTTCCAGGGGGCACTTCAATTTTAATAGTCCTTTTTTTCACAACTTGTCTTGAAACTGACCAACAATTCAAACCAGATCATTATGAATTCCAGGGCAGATGGCTGCCATTTTTGACATTTTTATTTTTTTAGACACACCCCCTAACGGACCTCACATCTGGTTTTGCTAATGGAAAATATTCAGGAGTGTCAACTACACTTCCTGGCAGCACAATAAAAATCTAACATATACAGTTGCATAAGTAATGGGGGTAGCAAGCTGTTGTGTCTTGGAAAAAGGTATGTATTTATGAAAAAAATTTAGTCTTTTTTTTTTGTATGTTTTTTACAATAAGACACATCTATGATCACTGTTATACTTTGCGTTTAAGTTAATAAGCTCTTTTAATATATTAACCCAAATGCCTCCCAAAACTGGCAGAGAATGTCAAAACAAGGTTCTTTTAATTAAAAATAAACATATAGGCAAACACTGTTTGGTAAAACTGTCAGGTCCTGTCAACTTGAAGCACAAGGGATGATAGATAAGGTGTTGGGAGAAAAAGCATGATGCCACAGCTGCACATGACAGCTGGGTTTTGTTGGAATTGGAACTCTCTTGACAAAATTTGTGATAGTTATGGGGTAAAAGTCCAATGCTGGAAATATGAAGTTTAAGTAATGAAATGGTTTTAAAGCACTGTGGCGCCCTCAACAAGAGTCTTCCTTCACGAGCCACGTGCCTCTCTTACTTATACATAGTCCAGGTGTTAAAGTAGAGTCTTAAAGGGATACTCCAGACCCTAAAGCACTTTAGCTTGCTAACAAGCTTTATGTGTGAAGAGTGTGTCCTCTTTTTTTCATTTTGCAAAAAGTTCAGATTTCAGTAGAAGTCGACACTTTTATAAATGAACCTGGTTACACCCCCTTGGCTGTCAATCAGAAAACAGGTCCTGTTACTTCCTGGTTTCGTTAGCTCAGTGCAGCTAATCTCAAAAGACAGCAATTGCTCAGAGCAATTGTTTTGCAAAAACTTTTTCAGCTGCATTGGTTAAGTCTGTGATTGGACAGCCACAGAAAGTCTGGGTGGGGTTAGAAGGGGAGGGCTTGCAAAGGCAGCAGAAAAATAGAACTGCAAGTTTTGCACGCTGTGTTTAGATTTACCCCATGAAAAAATGCATAATTAAATGCATGCACGTTTTCATTTGGGGTATTTCTACTAAACATTGATTTTAATTGATTTTGTATTTGGACAGTGGAGTGTCCCTTTAAGCACTTGATTACTAAAAATTATGTTTGGATAATCTAAGGGACACTGGCTTGTTAAAAAAAACAAAAACAAAACAATCCCACCACTCTGGCATGGCATTGGATTTTTAACTTGCTAAGGCCTTGCGTAGTGTCTAACGTTTACTCAGGATTGAGAAATAGTTAACAAGTTCCATAGGCACATCTACAATATTACGTGTTTTTTTTTTAATTCTTTATAATTTCCCTCTGCGTTTTCTCACCTCATTGAAGTTAGCATTTCCTCTGGATCAGAGGTTACTAGATAGACTCAGGGAAAAAGCCTACAAAGGGTTACCAGGGAGACAAGAAAGGGGGCGAACATAAGGAGTACCAATAAATTAAGACAAATCAAATATACAGGTAACTTGAACATGGAAAAGCGATACTGCTTTAAGTAGCAATGGATTATATACCTCCCTTCTAGGAATAATAAAATATAAACTTAAGTACCTGCACAGGAGCTCTGTGCCTGGTGTAAATGCTTGAGGGTCTAATCAGTAGAATATCAGAAACATTTTAGGAGTATTTACACACATAATATAGTGATACAGACTTAGTATTCTCATGGGTGTCCTTTTAAAGGGAATCTGTGAGGTCTGGAAAGTCTGGTGCAATAAAGCTTACAGGAAGTCTAATGAGTGTCCCATTGGAAGCATCTCCACACATAATGAATCTGCTTGTCTAGAAGAAATGAGGACAGAACTTGGGTACCTTCAGTAAAATGCATTAAACATGAGAGGGATTAGCATGCAAGACATTTCTCCACAGGACACTCAAAGAGAAACAATCTAAGGCCATATTATCAGCAGACACACAAGCACAGAACAGTTCACCATCACATGGGTCACTCAAAAAGAATAGGAATAGGCCAGATACTTTTTTTTTATTATTCAATCCCTTTTTTACCTCTGATAGTTATTAAATCAAAAAAGCACACAAAATGGAGATTTCAGTTTCTATGAATATTCACTATTTTAATATAATATTAAAAAAAATTTAATTAGTTTTTGTTTGTTTTTTGTTTAACCCTAAGAAGTTTTTATTTTCTTCCTACACATGTTTTTTTACATTTTAAATATGTGTATTTCTATATATTTTTTCTACTTGGCCGTGGTTCATGGTGATTCTCTGTATTACAAATAATTGGATGCATGCATACTGCCTTAACTCTGTGAGCGCTACAACATTACAATGCATAAACACACACTTACTGCATTTAAAAGGTTAAACCCATCACAGGATCTCGTATGGTTCAATGCCCAGTCCATAGCCTACATATTCATTTTAGGTGCATCAATTGGCTTTGCACTGGCAGCCATGTGGAGCAGATTACTTTGTATTTCTTGTAATACTAATAGCATTCTCTGTACTAAGCAATATGATGAACAGTTTTCTTGGTTCGTTTTTTTCCCTTGTGCAAGTCAGCAGATATGGACTGCCACTCCCACCCCACTGTGCAATCAGTACTACAATAGAATCATCATCATCCACTCGAGCAGCTGTGGACTAGCATTCCTATTATACTCGGTTTTAATACTAGTACAGTAATAGGCTTTATTTTTCACATTGGAAACTTTGGACTACAACTCCCATCAGGCGAACACCGATTTTAAGTCAGTATATGCATCCCCTGTCGCTTTATCAATCGTGGACCATTAAGTCCTATTATGCTAAGCCAACAGTGAAATGCTATTCTCACTCCATCAATGGCAAACTACAACTCCTATCAGGCTCTTTTTGCCATGGAACTAGTACAGCCTAGTAACAGAAACAAGCAAATCTATGTAGCTTTACTGTGGATCACAACCCCCACCATGCTCATCCGCCTTGCCTAATGTATTAGCTATATTAAAAAGCTGGCTGAGCATGCTGAAGGCTGCAGTTGAAAGCAGCATGTGGTGTGATGGAGGTGGTAGTGGTGGTGGAGGGGTGTCATTTCACTCACATCCATCAGCAGAGCTAAATCTATTTGGATAGAACGCGTGTGACCCAGACAGCTGGCACTCACCCAAACTGCCTTACACACCGGCAGCTAATATCATAGCAATCAACTAATGCACTGCATGGCTGGGAGACACCGACTTAGGGACAGCACAGATAATGATAATAATAAACCAATACACTGCACAGCTGGGAACCACCAACATAGGGACAGCACAGATAATGAGTATAATAATAATTAATAATAATAATAATAATAATAAAATGCATTGCATAGCTGGGAAACACCAACATGGGGACAGCACAGATAATGATGATGATTATAATAATAATAATAATGCACTGGACACTAACACAGACACATATCAGGTAATAATAGAGCACTGGACACCAACACAGACTTAGATCAGGTAATAATAATACACTGGATACTATCACAGACAGATCAGGTAGTAATCACTGGACACTAACAGAGACACAATCAGGTCGTACTAATGCACTGACTGGATACTAACAGAGACACAGATCGGGTCATAATAATGCACTGGACACTAACACACACACAGATCAGGTTATACTAATGCACTGGACACTAACAGAGACACAGATCAGGTCATACTAATGCACTGGATACTAACAGAGACACAGATCGGGTCATAATAATGCACTGGACACTAACACAGACACAGATCAGGTTATACTAATGCACTGGACACTAACACAGACACAGATCAGGTTATACTAATGCACTGGATACTAACACAGACACAGATCGGGTCATAATAATGCACTGGACACTAACACAGACACAGATCAGGTAATACTAATGCACTGGATACTAACACAGACACAGATAATAATAATGCACTGGATGCTAACACAGACTCAGATCAGGTAATAATAATGCACTGGATACCAACACATGGACATACCAGGTAGTAATAATAATACACTGGATACCAAAACAGGGACATATCAGGTAATAGGAATATACTGGATACTAACACAGACTTAGATCAGGTAATAATAATGCACTAGATACTAACACAGTGACAGATCAGGTAATTATAATGCACTGGATACCAACACTGTGACAGATCAGGTAATAATAACACACTGGATACTAACACAGGGACATATCAGGTAGTAATAATAATACACTGGATGCTAACATATGGACATAGGTAATAATAATACACTGGGTATGAACACATGGACATATCAGGTAGTAATAATAATACATTGGATACTAACACAGGGACATATTAGGCAATAATAATACACTGGGTATGAACACGTGGACATATCAGGTAGTAATAATAATGCACTGGATTTGGAAATATGAACATATCAGGTAATAATAATGCACTGGATATGAACACATGGACACATCAGTTAATAATAATGCACTGGATATGAACATATGGACATATCAGGTAATAATAATGCACTGGATATGAACATATGGACAGGTAAAACATTCAGCACTGTAACAAGGTATGCAGTCATATGGTAAATGAATGTGAATGGATATAGCCACTAGGGGGTGTGGAAGCTAATGTCAAAATATTGACACAATGACACCAAATATTTGCAGACATAAGACCCCCCAACCAGACAGTATCCTATCCTTCACCATTTATCCTTTATCATTATGCTCTGCATGAAACCATCAGGTTATTGGCTGGTGGGTCCTCTGGCACACAAGTAGCAGGTTTTAGTTTAATAGAAGAGGGTGGGGGTGGGGGGGACCAACCTCACATAACCTTTCTGTATACATTCTTCAATTCAACTAGCCACTGCCAGACAGTATGAACTGTATGAAATGTGTGCTATCCCACCACTAAATACACACACAAATATAAGACTCTCTGGTGTTAAGTCTAGCAATTCCCTAATGGCCAGAAAGAAATCAAAACCACACGCTTCCATCTCTTTGATTAGCCTATTAAGAGCTTAACATATCCTACAGAATCAGACTGAATGGACACATTACTGCTGCCCCTTTGAGCCCAGACAGAAACTATGCACTTGTCTGACTTCATAAGCAGACTTTTTTTTTTTTTTGTCATGGAGCATAAATGCTAGTTTCTTCACTCCTGAAAGACTGCAGATTTTTCTACAATTACTGAGTACAAATAAAATACAGAGATTGACAAAGTTAGTAGCCGGATGGTCAGATATCGCTTGTGTTAGTTTGTATCCGAGTTTTCTTTCGGCAGACTTTGAAGAGCTACATCTAAAGTTTCTTAGAAAACAGTAAATTGGGCAGCAATAAATGACCAAGTTATAATAATTATAGTCTGGTTCTTAGTTTTGCCCTGATTACAATATTAGATTGCAAGCTCTCTGGGAAACATACTTTTCTTACTGTATCACTTTCAGGGTGTTTCTATTAGCTAACATCACCCAGCACTGCAATTGTCTGTCTGCTCTGCTTCGCTGATATTCCTTGGTCACATCAATATCATCCTTGCAAACTGCAGTCCTGGCTGCTATCCCACTGACTAGCTAGAGCATTAACTGCACACACTTTACAGATCATTGCAGAATAGCACAATGCGAATGAAATGTCTGATAAAAAAAAAAAAATAATAATGATGATACAAATAAAAAAGATACATTTATACAAAAGGTAATGGCATGCTCTTCACTTCAACAGTAATCTTCAGCAATTACCATCTATTCACACCCTGGCAAATAGGCATAAAATGAGAAAAAAAAAAAAAAACAGTCCATGCACAGCAACTTCAGACAATAAGAGGAATTTTTAAAGGTGAATTTTAGAATTTTTTTTTTTTTTTTTAGAATTTAGAATTTAGAATCACAGATGACCTCTCTTACCGTTTTCATCTTCAATTTGTGCTCTCAGACAATAAGCACAGACAGTGCAGCTCAGTGCCCATTCACAGTGCTCCCCCTGGACACAGACCTCCAGCCCTGTCCTGGTGCCACCAGCATGCCATTAGGGGGTCCTGCAGGAGTTATAAGGAGGATGGCAGTGAGGATGGCATTTTACCCTGTGATGTCCACTGCTCACTCTTGCCTCCTATTGCACCCTGCATGTATGTATGTATGTATGTATGTGTGTGTGTGTGTGTATGGGGAGCTGTGCAGCTTGCTGAGAGCTATAGAGCAGGAGCTGGGCTGACTTGCTGGTGGAGCGGCCAGTCACATTGCTCACTGTCGGCCCGCAGCCAAGTTTAGTTCACAGCTCAGTTTTTGGCAGATCAGCAAGAGAGGTAGGGCGGAGTGACGTCACCGGGGGCCCTGCTGCGCCTGCGCAAGCCATCACGTGGAGGGGGATGGGGATAGAGGGGTGCAGGCAGGGGAACCTAGACATTCAGCCTGCACCTACGTGAGATCCATGGCCTCGGGCAGCCCGCTAGCTGCAGCCCCTCACAGCAGGAGGGCTCCTGGCTTTACTCTGTAGGACACATGACTCGGTGCCTGCTATGGACCAGCTGGGCTCATAGGTGAATTAGGTCCCAGGGAGGTGTACAGGGTTGCCAGGGGACACTATTCCTTTATATCACTTCCACATCATGATGGGCACCGTGGGGACATGTAGGCTGAACATGCAGTGTGTACAAAATCGAATGCTGCAGGTGGAATGTTCTAATCAATAATCAGAGACTAATGTGGAATCCTGCGGGATACGATGCATTCTGCACACTGCAGGGCAGAGCTTTTAATATGATGAACTGATGTGTTTAGTAAAACATTTTGGATATGGCATCTCTCAGTGTGTAACCCATACAGTACATGAGCGTTGGAACCCAACGCTTTTATCATCCCCCTCTATTAAGGAGTTAATCAAATACCTTTTTTGTATAAAGGCAACAGAGCTACATTTGTATACATATCGATCTCTGTTCTTAATGAAAACTATAGATACTATAGGTATCTTCTCTACCCCTTGTGTTTTTGTGTTTTGTTTTGGAGAGGGGTGGGGGTAATTTTATACCGTTCTGTCTCAGCCTGTGAGTGCTCTGTCATATATACATAAAGAAGATGGCCCTCATAGCTCCTATATACTGTGTAGGCATTTATGAACAAGTGAACATACCTCATTCAAAAGACTATTGTTATATAACCTTTTTCAGTTTTAGGAAAATTGTGGCAATCTGGGTGACAGTTTATTCAATGCATTATTCTAACATTAATGGTTTACTCTGACATGAGTACAATTGTGGATTAATATTACCTATAAAATTGCATAGGAAAGTAGCTCTACTTGTATATATAAACTTTTTTTTAGAGGATTCCATACTAATGATGCCATAAGTAAAAGGTTGGATGTACCTAAAATCAGCCCTTTTTAAATTTATTTATTTTTGTGTATTTTAATGTATGTTGTTGTGGATTAGAAAGACTGCATCACCAAATTATTTTATGACATGGTAAGAAATGCTCTTTTAAAGGACTTTCCCTGAGCCTGAGGAGCAGGTGACTATCATGACAATACTGGCCATTCTTGGCTCATGAAGAGTGTCTTTCACTGGGGTAGTATATCTGTTCCCACAACTGAAATGTCATATTCTGATATATGTTCAAACAACCAATTAATTACTATATCTTTTAACAGTTACATAATGAGTATAACTGATGGAGTGTTTTTAAACCACAGCAGATTTCATATAGCTGAATAACTCCTAATAACCTACAGACATTACAGTATAATTCTGAATTACATTTTCTTTTAACATTAATAAAAGAAAAAATAATGTGAGTGCACTTAAAAAGCATGACTACAAAAAGGCAACAGAAAAAAAACAAGGATCCCAGCCACCCATAAATGTAACAAGATTTAAAAAAATAAATAAAGTGTAATCTCATCAAAAAGTAAAAAAACAAATATATATATATATATATATATAATCTCCTTAAACTGAGAACTAAAAACTTATAGGGATAAAAGGAAAGATCATAACGTAATACTGTATAATCACACACATATATATATGGATAAAATAAAATGAAAAAAAAAAATACCAAAGAGTACTCACCCTATTAAACTATTAAAAAATCAAAGGTAACAGTAATGGTAGAATAGTCCCTAGGGATGCTAAGGTCTTCTTTCAATGTTGATGGTACTGGAATCTCCATTTACAGATAGAATTCCACACACATAATATAAAAATACCAAATCTAGTAAAGTGTTGTAAAACAAAGAATAACCACAAGGGGTATAGATACAACCTGCTTACACTTTGTGAAGCAAATAAATGCTCACGTTGAAAAGCATTGGTGGTACATATCCCCAAATCAATAACACATGAATCACAATTTTCACAACTTTTCAAAGTGTGCAGGACCATATAAGTTTGGTTAAATAGAGGCTACTGATGAATATCGTCATCTGCTATGTAAACTGCCAGTTGATTTGTTTTGAGACAGAAAGCCACTATACAGCAGATAACGATGGAATTCATCATCAGCCCCTATTTAACCGAATAATGTTTTATGATCTATCATACTTTTAAAAAGGGGAATACATGCAAAATGCGTCAGTGGAGGACTTGTGTTGGCTTTATTATGTTTTTATTTGTGTTTAATTAATATATTATATTTTGTATCTTTTTTGTAAGGCTGTTGTCCTCCTGATTCTGTTGTTATCTGATGTGGGAATTAGTACCACCAACACTTTTTACATTGAGCATTTATTTGCTCCACCAGGTGTAAGTAGCTTGTCTATAGTGGCTGTTCTTTGTTTTACAATACTTCACAATATTTTATATTATTAATATATACGGAGATTTCTTTACCATGCACTTCAAAGGAATACCTTACTTTATATCCATAAGTGGGGATTATTCCACCCATGCTGTTTCCTTTGAGCTTTTTTTTTTTCTTTAATAATCTTTATTTTTCATGTATATGTCAAAATAATACGCACTGTATTTGCAAAACAAGAGATATAATTGTGGAAAGTCTTCCAGGCTTCACAGCCAAGATGCATCAAGAAACATATTCCAAAACAAAAAGGACAGAGTATGTTTATGATCATTCACCATACATTAAAAGTACAAAAGAGCATTAATAAGCATATACCTAAAGATGTAAATATCCAGTGATGAGTGCCTGTTTGGACCCCCGGCACCACCACCAGCACATTAGGCGGCAAGAGAGAGATAATAAATTATATATATATATATATATATATATATATATATATATATATAGGACACTACAAGATCGGGATAGGGAGGGATCAGAAGGGACAGGGCTGTTCCCAGCAGGTGTATATGTAGCCCACTGTTGTTTAGTCAAATTAAAGCACATGTGCATGTACTACAGGAATTAGCCTACATTTATATCGGAGAAAGGGGTGTATGACCTGTCCACAAGCTACATGTATCAATAGAATTATTGCTTTGTAGGACTCCCCACTTGTCAACGCTGTTAGAGCAATCTTAAAACAGTCTAAAACCAGTTAGAAGCAACCCGAACCACACTTTAAATTGCAATAAGAGTAAAATAAAATACAAAGGTATAAACATATATAAAATACAATTACTATGTACACAGATACTTCTCAGCTGTTCGCCTTGCCGTAGTGGGAATTGTGACTGTTCTGCTCCTACGCGTTTCGTGAGTCTGAACTCACTTCTTCAGGGCGCGTCAACGATCATGATGCATAGGCATGTGTGTATATATATATATATATATATATATATATATATATATATCAGCTCTCTGCGGCACCTTGTATCTTATAGAGATGTAGCTCACTTTTTAATAGTGTGCTTTATGTTTTGTTTACGTTTAACTCCAAGTGGAGCACTGAATATATGTTTTTACCTAATTGTGAAAAAGCTGAAAACCTGCACAGCTCCATAATAGTAAAACAATAAGCTAAAATATACTCAAGATGTTCTAATACGCAATAGAAATGATAGAAAAATAAAAGCTGGAGGGTATCTGAATCTTGAGCCACAATCACATATGGAAGAATTCAATATAAAAACCAGAAGAAAGGTTAGAGAACAAATAAAATAATATGATAAAAAAAAAAAGAAAAAGAAGAATATGTGGATGTATCCAAGGTGGGAAACACAATTACACTATACACCTCTTATAGAATGCACAAAGTATGTATCTTGTAACAACTTGATTAGTGTAGCAGAATTTATAAAACAATGTATATCTTTGGCATTGTTTATCTGGGATTTGTAGGGCTGGGATGTATCTTTCTAATAGATCATGACTCCAAAAAGAATTGACTGATGCAAAAAAGCAACAAAATAACAAGATATAACAAAGATTGTAACAGTGAATAAAAAATATATAGGAATATATGATGCATCTATATAAAAAAATTAATGTATGCATAAAATTGTTATAAGATCTATAAAGTGCATATATTATAACCAATCAGTTAAACAAAAGATAATGTGAATGTGTGTTTAGTATATTTTCTCAGCACAGGTATATATATGGTGCATGCCACACGTACTCTATTAGTGCAACATGAAGTATGGGGGAAGAAGAAAGAAAAAATAATAAATCCAAATCTTTATTTAAACCTTCATTATAGAGGGTGCCAAATATAAAAATCCAATAGGATACTCTGCAACTTAATGCTCTGAGTCTATCTCATCATCTCTTAGTAGGTTGCATAGTTACAATACCTTTTACTATTAAACCTTTGCACCATGTGCTTCTAAAATGTGTAAAACATATGATATATAAAAGAAAAGCTAGCCCAAGCAGACATTAACAAATCATGTCAATGTACTCTCTTCTTATGCCCCAACCTCTCTACTCCTCAAATCAATCCAGTCCCCAATGAACTTACATTGAAGATTCAGGACCATCTAGGAAATAGGGGCTAGTAGATGATAGAACAGCCCAGCATTTCTCAGTCACCTGTGAAATCCTGGGAGCCTGATCTTCTGCATCTTGGGGAGGCCTCTGTTGACACCTTGGATTCCTCTGCCTGTGATGGTAGGTAATAGAAAGATAACCAGTCTGGAATCTCTATTTGTGGTAACTGCATAGCACTGCAAAAGGCTTTTATATCCTCCGGCCCTTGCAGAGTCTTCCCTTCGCTAGCCACCATCAGGGAATATGAAAAGCTCTGTCTGTAAGGCAAGCCAGCCTGGGTAAGGCAGTTAGTGTGTGGTTTGAGAGCCCATCTTTGCTGCAGAGTGTCCCATGAGAGATCCTGGAAGAGGGTAAGAGAGTCCTGTCCCTCCAAGGATAGTACTTGAAAATGTAGCTCTTTGTGCATAATGTCCTCCTTAAAAGTATGTCTGAGGAGACAACATATTACGTTCCTTGGTGGTGCTTTGGCAGCAGACCATTGTCTGAGCGCCCTGTGTGTCCTCAATAGCCATGTCAAGTGGACTACCCAGCACTGTATTAAATAGGCACAGGGTTTATTGCTACATTTGTGGGGGGAACTTCTACAACAAGCCTCCAACCCTATTATTATGCCATCCCCTGTTCTCCAAGTCGTCTATTTGGCGGTGTAACAGGACATGCGTTGTAGCGTGATCAGTCAGATGCAAAAAAAACATGAGAGAGCCAGGCCTGTGTCTATCCCTATCCATTTACGAGAAATATAATCAATAACCTTGGATAGATCACCTTGGATGGTCTTCAGTGCCACAGTGAAACGTGGTAAGCAGAGCGGTCTGCGATTCCATGTCTGCCTTCATCAGGAGTTTTGCCCCTCCAGGCTCTCAGCTACTGAGGAATCAGCCATTGCCAGCTATGTTATTGTGTCAGGCTCTACATGCTGTATAGTTAGGCCCCAGTGATGTAGGGGTGCAGAACTGGAAGATCAAAGGGAGAAAGAGTTTGGAATGTGGCCACATATTTTTAGCTAAGCCTATTGATG